GGCCCTCGATCAACCTCGAACCACATCAGAATCGAAAAACGTCAAATCACAAGAAACCGGACCAGCTATAGCTGCCTTACGTGTCGAAGGAGGAAGGTCAAGTGTGACAAGGCACGTCCAATCTGTGGAGGTTGCCAAAAGGCGAATGAAGATTGTTTCTATAGCCAGGACGATGCCCCGCCGACTTCTGCCCAGCCTAATCTGCCGAAGGAGGATAGCGGACCGGCCTGGAAGAAGCGAAAGTCGAGCCCCCTGAGACAAGATTCTCTGGGGACAGCTATCGGATCAGATGACCCCAGACCGCCTGCTGATCTCAAAGCTATCGAAGAGCAGTTGCACCGCCTGACCAAATTGTTTGATGCTCTTCGGCAAGGTAATGGAAACGATCTGCGACTGAAAGAGTTGCTCACGCCCGAGCATTCAACCTCAGACTCGGCATCTGATGGACCCCAGCCAAGGTCAAGTATGAGTCTGGACATGTTCCAGTCCAACACTCACGGACTGGCGAAGGAACCCTCTGACCTTAGCATGCCTCTATCAAGCTTGAGACTAAGCAATGCTGAATCGAGGACCGAAGACCCATTTTGGAACCATATCTCTGACGAAATCGATCAACTCAATCATCTGATGCGACGTCGCGACAATACTTATGCAAGCTCAATCAGTCCAGAGAACAAGCAGTGTGACAGGCCGCGAGAATGGGCCCCACCAGTCGAAGGAGGCCGTGAGCAAGAAAAAGACGACGTCTCGAACCCGACTGATTTCCACAAAGAAGCTGGAGGAAAGGTCCTAGAGAGCCTCGACCCGGACAGTGATTGCCTGATCTGTCGCCTAATGCCATTCTCTAAGTCCAGTCTTTTGCAAAGTATCCCAATCAAATGTACCCCAGCAACCGCCGTACAGCATCTGGTGGAGAACTTTCCAACTAGACCACAGAGTAACGTTCTTTTTAGGTGTTGGCTGTCAGGGGTGTATCCGATTTTGGGGCTTCTGCTGCCTTTGGAAATAAGCAAGAAACACGAAGAATTCTGGGATCAGGTCGAGTCGAAAGGCTTCTCAGACTCAAATCTTGCTGATTTGGACTTTTTGGCTGTGATCCATGCGATATGGTATGCGGGATCACTCAGTATTTCTACCAAGGGCCTTCAGCAATGGTTTCCTCACGTTTCAAGAGCCAGACTTAGCACGCGTTTCCACGATCAGGTGGTGTTTTGCCTCCTGCTGGGTTCGTTTGCTCAGAGAGTCAGCCTGTACAAGCTCGCGGCCTTGGTACTTCTGCAAAGCATGCCGATAGCTGAAGAAGATCCTTTACAAGGCAGCCTGTATCTGTCGTTAGCGGTAAGATTGGCCTTGACCATGGGTTTACACAGAGAGCCTACGCTGTTCGAATTATCCGTAACGGAGGAAGGTATGCGACGACGGCTTTGGTGGCAAATAATCCAGCTGGATATATCTCATGTTGTTGCAAGTGGTTACCCATCCCAAATCTCCGAGAAGTTTTGCGACACGAGAATCAGCTGCGAGGACAGGGATTCTCGTTCGTCCGAGTATGGATTAAGAAGCGCCACTTCGGACAACCCGTCGAAGAATTCGTCACCTTGCAGCGCATTATCGAATGGAGAGAGTGGAAATCCGAGATCTTTTCGTACTCTGTCACTTGTATCAAGAGGGAAGTCGATAATGGCATGTGCCACGCGAAGCGTTGTGTCCATACATCTGGAGACGAAAAAGCTCACGAATGGAGACGTGCAAGAAATGAAAAGAATCATGACTGAAGCGGGAGATCGAGTCAACGATATTATCAAATCAATTCCCAGCAAAGGCCTGCCAGAAATGGGATTCGTTCCAGATGCGCCAAGAGAAGTGCAGCAGCGTGCAGCAGATACTGATGTGTTGATGGGCAGTCCTATCACTTCGAACGATGTCGCGTACTACAATACCTCTGTCAACAACGCCGACCCCTCATGGCCTTTGGCAGGCTACTATCGTCAGAAGCAAGCGGCTTACAACAAATGGGCACGGATTCACTTATCTATGTTGATTGACAAAGTCCACTGTGTTGCGTATGCGCCTTTTCTGAAGAATACAAAGAGCAAGCTGTGGGACCTGGGTAGACAATGCGCACTACACAATTGCCACAGTTTCCTGAGAAAATTCATATCAATCGCAACCGATCCAGACTTGGAACCTTTCCGATGGGGTTGGCCTGCAACTTACGGGCCCCTCCATGCGGCTTTGATAGTTCTCGTTGATCTTTACGAAAGGCCCAATAGTGTTGAGGCACCCAGATCAAGAGAACTAATTGACAAGGTATTTGCACTGGCTGCCCCTGGGCACGGGATTTTCGGCGGCCCTGACGGTGTTACCGTGCAAAGACCGCTGCGAGAGGGCGGAGTTGAAGCCTGGGATATGCTGCGAGGCCTTCGCTCGGCTGCCTGGCAAAAAGCAGGACTCGATCCCACAGTCCTCTGGACAGAGGCCGATCAAATCGAACTTGGGGTGGCTGCCCCGTTGACAGATGCGCAGAAAATTGCTCAGAGTATCCGCGAAGATTCAATATATGATAGCGAAACCCCGACCGTGCAACCCACATCATGGGCAACAATCCCTTCACAAGCAGAACAAAAGGCAACGGAAGAAGGCGTCCGATACATCGTTAATCTGGCCCAAAGAGAACTCGGTAGTGAGCTCAACGAAGCGCAGGGGCCCCTTTACACCCAGGCTATGCGTAGCCAGTTGCGTCAAACTCTCGAAGGCGATTCGGGGTTAAATGCTGGTCGAGTATTGGCACGGCGGGAAGGTCAGCCAAGAATGCCATTTCCACTCAGCAGGCACATGGAGAAGTGCTCTGGTAAGGTAGCCGCCAGCGACCCTGCATCAGTTCAAGTCTTGCCGCTCCATTCGCACATGCCTAGAGCAGAGGGGAAGCCCACTCCTTGTCTCACTCAGACAATACCACTGTTGGACGGATATGGATCGAGAAATGGTACGCAGACAATTCAGCAAAAGTCTTACGGATCCGGTCAGCACAGTTGGGGACAAGCGCCCGCCAGTGCCGTGAACGGCACACAGCAGAACTTGTTCTACGATCAGTTATCCAAGAAGCAAACCCCAGAGGCGTACCTCCCAGATGGCTATGCGAATGGTGACAGCGAGGAGCTGCCCAATCACAGTAATGAAGAGTCACACAAAGACCAGAGCTTTGTCTATACCGAGTTACACCAGGGTGACACAGACATGAACATGGGCTTTGACTGGGAACGCTGGGATGCTGTATTCGGGCAATACTCTGGATTCACTGATTTGATGGATGATGTGACAACATGGAGTGAGTATCTCGATCAGTGACATTCTATATAGTTGGATAACTCGCGGCCTGTTGACCTATAAAACCTACCTTCCCGAAAACGGATCTTGATATACATGCGACTTCCTTGTCCTACCGACTTCAGATGCAAAATGGAACTTGATGGAGACCAAACCAACATGCCGCCCAGAGATCTATTCGACTATTCGAACGTGGTGACGTTCGCGGCTGGCGAAGGGAACAGTCTGCAGTATTTCGCATTCGACGGACCCCGACTCTGCTATGAGTCTGCATACTTCGACGAACGGCTGCATGGACGCTACCCGGAGACAAGGACTCGACATTTCGATTTCGCAGACGTCAAACCTGCCGTCCTCGCATGCATGCTGTGCTGGTACCGTGGCTGGATTTGTGTCTACTGCGACGAGGACGATGGTCATACAACTGAAGCATGCTCACTAGCAGAGAGATGCCGCATTCCGCGGTTCAAAGGATATCTGGTCAAGAAGATCGAAGTACGAAGCAGCATCAGAGGTATAGGAAGAAGCACAACATGACCGTCCATCGTGGATCTTCGAAGACGACGAAAGAAATGTTCTTGTCATTGGCCCCGGGGTATTGCTTTCACAGATCGAGATTAAAGATGGCACAGAGCAGGACAATAGGCCTCATTCCGCATCCGTTCGGGCGGAGAAGGTTTTACTTAGCAATGATGCGTATTGATCGGCTCCCGCGGCCGGGATCTGGATGGACGGGACTGCTACTGGGCAGAACATTTCCTCGCAACCGCATGTTGATGTCGGTGATGTCGCCACCAAGTCCTCTGTGAGACTGCCACGAACCGTATTAACCGCTCGTCAGTCTGCAACGGAGCGTTTTATCAACACAAAAGAACATCAAATGTTATGGGCGATATGCACAATCTTCCGGCCATCTTTCAACTTGTTGCTTTCATCTACTGAACGATGCGGATACCGGTGCTTTATCGATGTGTCCGTCTTCTACGCCTACACACAAGTGCTTCTGGAACCTGTGGGATGGCCTGGGCCCTTTACGCAGCAATCAAGCATCTGTACATGGCTGCCCTGTGTTGGCCGAAACGGATACACATCAACTAGACTTTGCGGATACGCCATCCATTTCCTACCACCGAAAGCTGAAGCTATGACAATGACACCTGCCAGAAATGATCAGGTCGCCACATCGACAACGAGGGAAGAGGATTCTGCGGAACTCATTACCAAGCAACACAATTGGGCTGGCCCCTTGTTCATTTACTACTGGTCATTCACTTTCCGGCTATTTCAGTTCCTTCTGAAAAAGTCTGTTGTTTCTTCGACCACAGTGGTAATGGATGACTGATTCCGCGCGAGTATTGTCCAACTCCTCATATTCCCATAGTTCGCCGCGCTTCCCTGACTTGTCACCCTGCCCTTCCGACACCGCTGCCGACCTGCAATTGCCTTGACTAAATAATTCTCATACTTAGGGCAAGCTATGTTGGTCTACGAGCCTCGTGCCGCTATGTGAGTCAACCGGAAAAGCAGCGCGGCGCGCGTCCTCAACCGATTCGTGCCACAGGTTCGCCACGTCACCCACTACTATCGTGATCTGAGAATACGCATCCGGCGAGGTTCTCAGATTCGATGCTTACGAAACACTTTTTAAAGACCAAGCCATGTTCTTTGCCAGGATGGCGACCGAGGGCGCAACGAGAGCGTCTGGTGTGCCTTCACTGGTGGTGTGAGTCTCTGGGATTTCCATTACTTCTTTCAATAGCTGCACACTGGTGCTATACTTGAGAAGATTGTTAAGCGCGAGTTCGTGGATCTCTGGTGTCTAGCCCAGAAGCTAGAGTCAGCTGGTTTCAAGAGATATCTCAGGGACAAGGGTAAAGAATGCTTTTGGAGAATGCGACTATCTATCCTGTTTTGAGGGCCTTGCCTACATCCCCCTGACCGGAGATGACGCCGAGTCCCGAACGCTTAGAGTACATACTAGAAGGTATGACAAGCAAGATTGTTACTTCCAGATGGAATAATATCATCGAGAAAGGCGGCGAAAGATGGACGGGTTTCATGAGGATTGCAGACAATGAGACGAAAACAAAAGTAGGCTTCGTCTCTCGGCTCATCCATCTCTGGACAACTTGGGAGAGTACCGGGTCATCCTACGAAGGACACCATCTGCAATTGAGATTGACGGAAGGAGGCCAGGAAGGCCGTGATCAAAAACGTGTGAATGGCAGGCTGGTGTGAGATGGGAACTTACCGCTGTGGACTGATTGAGCAGTGTGAAGACGACAATCTGCGACAACCATACAAGTTGAATCCGGCAAAACGAGACACCTGGGCTCTGCTCGATGATGAAGTCGCTGTATACTTGGTCGGTCTTTACGTTCGTCGATGCCAGATGCCTGTGATAGTCTGGAGGAGGGTAAAACAGCGTAATCCGTATTCCGACTTCACCATGAAATGAGCTGCTTCTCACCAGATGATCATCAAACTTTCATCAGCGAAGCTCGGTTGATTACTTCACATGTAAACATTGTCCTCTGTCGTCAATCATCTTTTCATCTTGCTGTCCGACTTGCTTCATACTTCACTTTTCCCCGAAGACTATCGCCAAGCAGCAAGTTCCTTTCACTGCCTTCACTTCAATCTGAAGCTCTGAACTTCTTGGTCTCTCTTCTCCTCAAACTGACCAAGCACAGACACAGCTGGAAGCCTCCTTCCAGCACCTCAGCCCATCTCAGAACTAGCGCCGGAAGGAAGCCATGGCAGCAGCACCGGCGATGACTTCCCAGTGAGTAGACAAGTGTCTGAACGCCTGAAGCATGACTGACTTCCAAAAGGCACGCTCGAGCCCCAGTCATCAAGGTGATCGCGGGCGAAGACGAGATCTTCGGCGAAGAAGACCCTGACGTCCCGCTCAATGTCTTCCATGTCAGCAAGTCACTGCTGCTAGAGAACTCCAAGTACTTTGCCATCATCCTCGATTCATCCCCCGACCGTACCACCGTTCGTCTCCCGACACAGGACCATGACGTCCTCGCCGACTGGCTCGACTTGATCTACCAAGGCGCTCTCAATAAGTCCACCAGCAGCAAACCCCTGACATTCGATGACGTGGAGCGCTACTTCAAATTCGCAGACCTGGTGGGTTCCGAAAAGCTCAGAAACACCGTCATGGATTCTATGCAGGACGTGCCGCTGGATCACTGGGACTTGCGATCGCTGTGGACCCTGGATGCCCACTACCCCTCCCTCGAGGACCTGTGCCACTATATCCTCGAATGCCTCGCGTATAAGATCGTCATGAATGGCTGGGCCGATTTCACTGCGGCGGACCGCAACTGCGAGGGGAACATGTGGTACGATTTCGTCAGTAACATGAACAACATCGAGTTGCTGAATGCGCTGCTCCTGAAGGTGGATGAGCTGAGCATGCTGAAGGACAAAAACATGCTTGTGGCCCCCACGGATCGCAGGGATTGCAAGTTGCATGAGCATGCCAGCGACGACACAAAGGCGAAGTGCCCGAGAAAAGATTGGCGACCGTGGAAAGCCGTGGTGTCGTACAAGAGTGAACTCCTGAACGGCCACGGCGACGCGGTGGCACCGAACGGTCATGGGCGAACAGACCCTGACCTCCTTTGAGCACGGCCTACACAGTGCAAAACTACCTGTTAGGTCGAGCCTGAACAACGGACCTGGCTGCGGAAACATCATTTGAGGAAAGGTAAACCAATGTGGGCAGCTTCTTCTTCCCGACCTGCTTTGAAATCATCTTGCTGGTGGAGGCGTGGGCTGGCTTGATGGGGATACGGCGCAACATAACGCGAGTTGATGTTATGTATCTGCTGGTCGTTTCTTCAGCATGCAGCATGGAGCATAGAGCATGGCAGAATCTGACGGAGAGGAAAGAAGAGCCTCGCTCGCCTCTTGGGCGAGGTTCGATATCTTGAGGGCCGCGGCTGGACGGTGGGCGGCGAGATCTCGTGCGTCTCCACGCGACTTTCCCTGGAGAGTCTGACTAGTCCTGCTCAAACACCAAAACCATGGCTTTCTTTGCACTGACTGCGTGAGATCCATACTTAAACATGATATCCCGTACCAAAGAGCTAGGTAGCTGCCTTCAACTGGCAAGACCGCCTTCTCGAAGAATTAAGAGGAGACTACTCATCGAAGCTGACGGGGAAACGGGGAAGGTCGTACCGCCATGAGCACTCAGTATGTGCTGGTACCCAGTACCTCGGCCCGTCCCGAGATTTACCCCTAGATCCACGTACACAAAAGTACGGTAACCCTTTTTGCCCTCTTTCCACGATTTCTATCTGCGCCTGCTGTGTATGCGCATTGTTTGAAGTACGGGAGTTACATGTACTGCTCTTCGTACCGTGCTGACTGAGCGTATTGCCCGGCGGGTAGATTGTCGCGAGGCCATCGCGAGGCACTTTTGTGCGCTATTCCCACACCCGTGGATGGACTTTGCGACCGAGCCAGGTCGAAATCGACAGTTTCTACTCGGTATGCCCAAAATGTACGACGAGGACATGAAGATCAACGCGGCTGCCGCATTTGCTTGGATTGCTGTACACGTCTTGCCAAAGTTCCCGGCATTAGCTTCAACCGTCCAAGCGAGTCCATCAGTAGACAGTCGCCAAAGTTGATTCTTCGGACATGATGGGCTTCGATTGGATGGTCCGGCGAGAGGACGCCTTCCTGTCTGCCTCGCCAGACGTTCCCAGTTGGAGCTTCCCAAGGCCGATGCCTCAATTTCTCAATTTCTCGAATTTCATTTAGCACGTTGCAAACCCCTTTCGCTCCTAGAGATGATCAGCTATGAGAACTTGGATCTCGCCGTCACCTCGATTCGACAACGATCTGCTCGATAAAAGATCCTCATCATTTTGATATTGCTGGCGCCGCAAAATGCGGCTGATCAACACTCGAACTCTGAAATTGGAATCGTTCGATGATGATAAGATTCCTGTCTACGCGATTCTCTCATCCAAGTGGGAAGACGACGAGGTTATATTTCAAGACATGAATAAAGACGGTTTGACACAAAAGAAGGACTACAGAAAGATCTCTGAGGCTTGCAAACAGGCTCGGAAAGACAAAGTGGGGTACATCTGGATTGACACCTGTTGTATCGACAGGACCAAGAGTTCGGAACTCTCACAGGCCATCAATTCTATGTACCAGTGGTATAAAGAGTCGAAAAAGTGTTATGCATATCTCTTTGATGTATTACACTCCAAGACTAATGCGGTGGTTGGTTCCAGCTTCGAGAAGAGTGTTTGGTTTACCAGAGGCTGGACTCTGCAAGAACTCCTGGCGCCTCGTGAAGTGCATTTCTTCGACTGCCAGTGGAATGCAATAGGCACAAGGACATCTCTCTTTCTACGGATTGCATCTATAACGAGAATTGCTAAGGAAGCCCTACTGGGGACACCTCTAGACTCCTTCTCGGTTGCACAACGAATGTCTTGGGCGGCAGGGAGAAAGACCACATGTATAGAAGATGTTGCATACAGCCTCATGGGGATCTTCGACGTCAGAATGGCAATGTTATATGGAGAAGGATCGGAGGCGTTTACGAGGCTGCAGAAGAAGATCATCAAGCGCTCTGTCGACCAGTCTATTTTTGGGTGGACACGTTCCACCTCACAACCGCAACTATTGGCGTCATCTCCCAATGACTTCCGAGACTGTACCGATATTGTCCAGCATCTGCCACTGACCAGTCCAAGCCCGTATTCAATGACAAATGTGGGTCTGAAAATCAAACTGCCCCTGATCGCCTGGTCACTATATGTATACCTGGCGATTCTGTATTGCGGTCCATCTTCTGACAAATACACCGCCATCTTCCTGTACAAGGTTCAGACAGGATTCTACGCAACGACCACCGTGAACCAAATCCCATTCACCGACATTTCCCAAGGTCAGCTCCGGATCCTGCTTGGGGGCCGAACATACAGTGGGGATACCGCGACAAAGGTTCTTGTGCGGAAGAACGGTGAACCCGAAATCAGCCGCTTGTATGGATTTCACCTGCAGGCCGTTGGGGAGTGGAAAAAGGCATTTCACTGCCGGAGAATGCGGGTGTACGCACGAGGCTGGAACAAGCGGGATGAAGTCTTGGAAATCCCCATAGGAGAGAGCGGCACCGCCGGCGTCATCGCATTTTGGAAACGAAGCAGGTCAAATTTTACCTGTTATGTGCTAAAGCTGGGATTCGATTGGGCTTTCAATCCGGTCTGCATGCTTGCACGGTATTGTTCGCCGAAGCCGAACAGAAAATTCTACTTGCCCCGAACTTCTAAAGAGATAGAGAACCACGTTTTAGATTCGTCATGGATCTCTAGAATGCAAGAGGCCGACGCGCTCAAAGATGCGGCAATCGATTGGATCAGCCGATATGGAAGACTTTATGACAACAAATGCTGGCATTTCAAGAAGCTGTCCTTGGACTCAGGACAGCCATTTGAAGTGGACGGGATTGATTTGCAGTTGGAATTCAAATACGAGTGGAACGTGAAGGAGTATCAAAGGGCTTGGACAATTAGGTTGGGCTGCCGCGAGAAGGACCGGTACTCGAGGCTGTGATCAAGTGCCAATTACTGTCCGGTACAGATCACAGATCCAGCTCTAGTCGGCCGCTTGAAGTACCACACGACCGTTGAGCTACAGGCCATTTGGCTGCTTCGGTACCGCATCGCAAGCTTAGGTACAGGACGAGGTGGAATGCACGAACGGGATCATGACCTGAAGCCCAACGTCTCCCAGCTTCGTTGATGGGCGTTTCCAGAAGCTATGGCCCGGCTGCTCGGCATACATAATGTCTCCATAAATTAGGATATGTCAGACCCAAGAATCTAGCCAAGTTTCGAGTTATGTAGATCGACAGATTGTGAGCGAGCATCCAGGCTTTTGACCGTAGCACTCACGGCAAGCCCAGCATACGGACGTATGGAGCCCAAGAGACGACAACCTGATTCTAGCTTTGATATAGCCAGGTACGGTACATGCACAGAGAAGAGACGAATAGGTAGGGAAGGAACTCTTCCACCTAGAGATCCTCTGTACTTTTTGCTGGTCATTCATTGGGCCGAGTGAGGGCGAGGCTGAGGGAAGCAAAGGCGTTGATACATACTAGTTCATACACATACACAGACAGCCTCGACAGATAGTAAGCCAAGGAAAGCCACAAAATATCACTACTGACCTACCTAGGTAGGGGGGAGGTATGTATCTCATAGACGAGAAGGTGAGCCGAAGATCAAGCCCGCAAGATCAAGCCGTTTGATTCACTACAGAGTGACACGATGAAAGTGAATTGAATCTCCAATTTGAGAAGTGAGTCCCTGGCATTTAAAGGACCTCCTTTCTCCTTTTCCTCCCCTTCTTCCCCTTCTTCCTCTTCATCCTACTCCTCCTCGTCGTCTACTCCGTCATATCAGCTCCTTCACAAGTCCCAGCACCGAACAGCTCCCGATCTTTGAATTGATTTCAATATATCTATCACATAACATCGTCACGCTGTCAATTCAGCCGTCTATTTCATCCCCCTTGTTTCATTCTCCGTTGCGGAGCTTGTATTCGCCAAATCGAACCGACGCACCTGAAGGTATTTGAACTCCGTACCGGGCGCGATCAAGATGTCGTTCACAGGTCCCTCGCCCCTGGCTCTTCCGCCGCCTTCTGCCGGGGTGCTCACGCCGCCAGGGGTGCGGGAGTATCTCGAAGCCATGAACGTCGAGAGGTCAGTTGGTTCACAGACCGTGCGCCTTCGAAGCCAGTTTCTGACGTGAATGATGATGCAGCTCAGACAAGGTCGAGATTGTAGCTGGTCGTCGCGATCGAAACAACGCAGCGTTCCATTACTTCGTTTCAACTGCGGCGATCCTCGAGACTTGCACCGTTCTTCAACCCGAACTCCGTATCGACGAGGATGGCACCTATGAGTACTCAGAACCTGAAGAACTCCTTGTCAAGCAGGACGGCACCTCGATGTACTCATTCTCTTTTCAGCCTTCACAGCTTGACGCCACTGCGATATTCGGGTTGTGGCTCGGTCTCCATAACAGCTGTGATGCCCTGGTCCAGACAGGGTTTGATGACCTGATTCGGTACAAGTTCAGTCAGATTCCCGGCCTTGTCGTCAACTGCTGGATGGTGGCGTCGACAATGGGTTCACAGCCATTCAAAAACTACCTGACCAGCATTGGCGTTGAAATGTCCGACGATGACTATGATGTCATCATGGGCCTGGTCAATCGTCTCGTCCGGGCCGGATATCCGGGTTGCTCTGTCGTTGGCGCCCTGCTTGAGAATCTGGCTTTTCTGATTGTCAAACACGAGCTAGATCTCAAGACATACCTTCACGACTGGATGCAGCATGGCGCCCTGATGAAGGAGAGTCCTTCTCTTCTCATCAATTTCCTGCTCACAGTCGAAGAGTTGCAGGGCCTGAAGAACCGCGGATTGCCTTACCATCCCGTTGACCGCCTCTGCTGGAAATGGCACATGCACAGGAGCATGGAGGAGCGGAGAGCGTGTCCCAACTTCAAAGAGGACGAGCGACCCGTGCTGGACGCGAGTGACGATGAAGAGCAACTCAAAGTTCATTTCACCGGACGTCCTGTCGAACAGGAATTCCATGAAGGCTGGGCCCAAAGGCGAATGGATCGTGCTCGAGAAATTTGAGCACGAGACCAAGTGCACAGTCGGTGGCTTGGTGGCATGGCAAGACGGTCTCGAGGCTTGACCGACAGGATCTTGCACCAAGAATCCCGCTGCAAGTGCACAGGGTTGGACACGAAGTTGCTGCATGGACATTCGCATGGACATTCGATGAGAAGAGGCTCTGAATTGCACTGAGAAGGCGATTTGAGAAAAGTCCCAGGATGCATGGTCTTTGTTCAGCATGGGTTTGACGGAAGCAAGAGCGCACGCGCTCGTCCCAGGTGGGAGAGCCTTTTCTTGCGCTCAAGAGCTGCGTCATTTTGCTGGAAGTTTTCTGAGATTCAGATTGTTTTTGAGAGCCATGATGCATGGGGGAGCTGCAATCAATCACGTATGTGCCAGAATCAAGTCTTTTTCTTGTCTTTCTTTTTCTTACCACTCGACTCTCCGCCTCCACCACCGCCACCGCCCATCATACCACCCAGGCCGCCCATCCCGCCCATGCCGTTCATCATGCTCTGTAGCGCGTTTATATCGGGCATGCCTCCTCCTCCTCCTCCACCACCGCCTCCAGGCCCACCACCCGGTAGATGACCCTGACTCTGCGCATGCCTCAGCTCCTCCATAGCCTCCTTGAAGAAATCGTCCCTGACCCCCCCTCCACTCACGGCCGACGAATGCACGGGGAGGATCGTGCCCATCTTCCACCCCCGCGGCACCGCGACCTCTGTCTGCAAGAAGTTCTCGGGGATCGGCAGCCCCTGCAGTCGTAATTCGAGAGGTGCCTCCTTTGTTGTGGGGTTCTCCTTCAGCCACTTGCCAATTATGGTGTACAGCTGCGCTTTGCTCCGTATCTGGCTGTTGAGTGGTGCGTGTGTGTCGGGGTCTTTCAGGAGCAGCTTGACCCGTCCCGGATTGGCCCAGTCTTTGGGGTGCGTCTTCTCGGGCTCAAACGCCATCCTAAACACGTTCTCGCCGACCGCGAACCGCACCGCGCACAGAACCTGCCAGGCCAACGGGTTCGGAATTGCCAGCTGCGACGACACCCGCCGCCCCTGCTTTTTTGACCGCGTGCTGTCAAAGTACACCGGGTATAGCGTCTGGAACCGCTTGATTTCTTCGCGAGTCTGCTGGCGGATTTGGGGCGTGGAGGCAGGAGGGGGTCGGAAAGGCGTCGGGTTCATCCCGGAAGAGGAGGAGGGCGATGTATGGGTTTGCGAGGAGTGGCTTGCGGCGGCGGGCCGGATGATGTGCTCGTCCGAGTGTGGGAGGAAGTCGGATGGGTCGTCGATGTCTGGGTCCGAGTCGGACAGCTCCTCGACTCGTGCGTGCGACATTGGGGGAGGGCAGGATGCTGGCGTACGGAGATGTCTGATGTTTGATGGTGTTCCTCAAAACGGCCTCATTTCGCGGATAGGTGGTATCTTGCGCAGGGTAGATTCAGATGAGGTTCGAATTCGGATTCGGACTCGAGTTCAGGCTCAGGTTCAGATTCAAGTCAAGTCCACTTGTTAGAATCGAGTAAGCTATCCCGCAGCCCCACCGGAGGGTGTCTCAACCTCTCCAAGTATGTGCGGAAAACGGAAATTCAATGTGAATTGAATCCCCGGTTCCAACGACTGATTGAATCAATTTGGGGGGCTTCACCCAGCGAGGCCAGAAAGATGGATGTGATGTGGGGAAATTTCGAGGCTGGCTGCCCTGGGCTGCCCTCCAAAATGCGGGCTTGGCATAAGCCCCCACTCAATCTTACTGTCTTACAGCCTTGCAGGCGCGGTACGAAGGCAGAGGATATTCATGTTCCTCGACTCAGCCTTGTCATCCCTTCGACACTCGTGCACCGGACGGACCAAATACCATTACAAGCTATGCGGTTTCCGCCCGCTGATTCCAATTTGTTCGCGAGGAAGTTCATGAGATTCAGCGATCCTAGTTCTTTCTCGTCTTCACATACTCCAGAAAAGGCTAAGAAGTCTCATTCTTGCTCTCCGCAGTGGACGGCGCGCTCCGGCCTTCGTTAGGTACATACCACATTACACCAAAGTACCTGGGTACCTACCTACAGTACATATGTCCCCAACTATGGAACTACTCGATATCCCAAGCCTCGTCCTCGGTGTTCCTGATATACGGCACAGGCAAGTCCGCAGGGCCGTACTTTGTCTCGGTAATGGTGAGCCCGTTGCCCAGGAACGCGAATATATTGCCGGGGTCATTGTACTGGAGGTCGTAGTGCTCGAAACGGGGCCGTTTCATGAACTTGAGGTGGTGGAAGAGGCTGCCTGGCCAGATATACACACGGCCATCCTTTTTGTTGTCCTATTTTGATCGATTATCAAGGTCAGTGTCACACCTCTCCGAACGCAAAACTAACTCCAAACCAAAAAGAAAAAAAGATGGATGTTCCAACTCCCGATTTCTGACAAGGTAGTGTGAAGATAGGAAAGAAGGGAAGAGAGAGGTGCAGAGAGGCTAAAACTCACTTTGTACCAGCTCTTACAGTCCTCAGCCCAGACGCTGTTTTTCCGGTGCCATGCGTCCATGAAGAGGTTCAGCTGTGACGTCGGCTCTTGCTTGGGCATCATCCACCGGATCCCGTCCTCCTGCATCTTCCGACAGCACTGGAGGATATATTCAATGTGTACCTCATGGCTGGGCAGCACGCACCCTTGTCCCCAATTGCCCCGCGGACCGTTGACCACGAAGTAGTTCGGAAACCCCGGGGCTGAGATCGAGGCGTACACGTTCGGTTCCTTCTGGTCCTGCATGACCTGGCCGTTCAGGCCCGTGATTCGAAAGTGAGGGAGATATGCGACGTAGAACCCCGTGGCACACGCTAAGATGTCGACTTTGTGTTCAGTGCCGTCGCTGGTGACGACTCCTTCGGGTGTGACTTTGACGATATCGTCGAACACGCAGGTCACGTTATCGCGGATCAACGCTTCCAGGTAGCCCTCCCCGGGGGTCAATCGACGACAGCCCGGGCTCCACGCGGGGATGAATCTCTGCTTTAGGTCCTCTCTGTCCCCGAGTTTCCGCGCCATGTCGTCTTGCAAAAACTTCTTTGCCGCGAGATTCATCTCGGATCCGCGCAGGAACATGCGGAAGATGCTTACCACCGAGCGCTCCACCTGCTGTCGATACTTCAAATGGTACTCTGGGTCGTCGCGAAACTTTTGCTTTTCTTTTTCTGTGTAGGAGTGCTTGCCTGCGGCTTGCGGATCTTGGGCCTCCGGGTCAGCCTCCTTGTTGGAAATGGACCCAAAGGGCGTGGCGATGTAAGTCTCATTGCGGATGAAGACGGTAACATGCTTCGCCGTCTCGACTAGCTCGGGCACCATTTGGATGGAGCTTGATCCTGTCCCGATCACCGCGACGGTCTTGCCGGCCCAGTCGATGCTTGTGTCCCAATTGGCCGAATGCGCGAGGATCCCCTTGAAGTCATGTAGTCCCTCTATGCTGGGCCACTTCCACTTGTTGATGACTCCGGCCCCGTTGACGATGACATCGCAGGTGTCGACGAAGGTGCTGCCGTCTTTGCGCTTCAAGTCAACTTTCCATTTCGAGGTTTTTTCCTCCCAAGTAGCGGCCACAACCTCGGTGTTCAGCTGAACATACTTCTCCACCCCGTACTTCTTGGCAAACCTGAGAAAATACTCCTGGATCTCGTGGCTGTAGCTGTAATAGCCGCTCCACTCGGCATTGGGCTCAAAGGGATACGTGTAGGTATGTGCTGGGATGTCACAAGCACAGCCAGGATACCTGTTTTGTGATGGTGTCAGAGACTTGGGTTTCTCGTAATTAAACTTGCTTCGCTACGGATGGGATGGGCTTTTTCAGGATTTAGACCGACCTGTTTTCATACCACGTGCCTCCAATCACCTCGTTCTTCTCATAACAGATGAGTTCGTAGTTTTGCAGCTGTTTCTCAGCCTTGTGCGCGAACAGAAGACCCGAGGCACCCGCACCGACATGGATGATTTTTATCGGCTGCGGCGTGCACTGCGGATAGTCGGGAACATCGTCCGCCGTGTATGGCGCTTCATCGATAAGAGGCATTATCGCTGTATTGTTGCCGTAGCAGTGGTGGTGGTGGTGGTGACAGAGGAGGGAGCGAACAAGGCTAGACTCTAGGCTCTACTCGACAGTTGAAGAGACACGATATATGCTCTACCTTCCCTGGTACTCCGTCTGCTTTGTAGTCAAAGAGAGATTGTGAGTAATATCAGTGAGCATGAGTTCGTGGAACCGCGCTCACGATTTTGCACAGTGTTAGGCAACTACCACTCAGGCGTCCAAGGCCAAGGTCATCGAAAACGAGGATCATATTATCTACGTCCGTAAGCTCCCATGTACCATTGGGAGGCAGCATTGTCCCTCGGGTGTCCCTACCTGTACTCGTGGTCTTTTCTCCTATCCAGGCATGTTTCCAAGTCCGAAAATGTACGATATGGTCAGAGCGGGGTCAATCTTACCGAGGTCAGATGTCTAAAAGGGAAATACTGCAGGGCAGCGGGGCACGAGGCTGCCCAACTACCAAGCGAAACGCGCACATTGGTTGTCTTCGATATCTGGTTAGTTACCTTCTCAGTAAGGCGCTCGTGTGAAATTATTCTCCAGTGTCGGAATACGAATATCTAATATCAACCTGCGCTGGTCGCAGGGACCCCAACGTCTCGCGAGTAGTAGAATTCAAAAAGGTTGCAGACCAGAAGATAAGCGAAGCGAATGGACTTCAAAATAATGCGTGCGTGTCTTTATCATTCTAAAAAGGGGGTACTCGAGTGTAAGAAGAATAGTACAAGTACTGCATGCGGCCCGGCCTAGATCCCACGAATGCTCCCCTTGCGCAACTTCTATTCACAAAACAGCTGCAACACCGGCAGCGACAGCCCCAAGGACCATCAGTCCGTTCGACACCGTGTTCGCTCCAGCGGCGTTGCCAGAAGCGGAGGCGCTGGCGCTGGATCCTGTTGCACTGGCTGTTGAAGAACCGGAAGCACTACTGCTGCTTGAGCTGGAGACAGCGGCACCGAAAATGCCACCTTGAACGGTTTCAGGGGAGGAACCCTGAGCGTTTTGGGCGGCAGATTTGTATGCGGACAGCGTGTTGCCACTTGACCTGCATAATGATCAGTATACGGGTATTGCATGGTGACGCAGCGTTACTTACGGGGGATTCACAACCATAGCCATTCCACCCTCGCAGTGGCCAGTGGCCGAGCAATAAAGCCACAGTGGATCAGTGCTGTTGATTTGAATCCGCCACACATCCCCATCGTTAGGGAATCCCGAGTACACGCCCGCGCTACCACTGATTGGTACGCAAGGGGCATCGAACGAACTCTGCGCAACACTGTGGCCAGCGCCGAAAGTGAACTCAACCCAGTCGCCTTGCGCGGCGGTGACAGTGTCTGGTGTGAAGGTGAGGCCGGGTCCAACTTGGACAGAGTGAATGCCCGAGGCAGAAGAGGCGGCGGCGGTTGCAGTGGCTGACGACATGGCAGAAGTCGAAGAGGAGTCAGAACCGCCATAGTCGTACTGAGGTTTGGCGAGGACGGATGTGGCCAGCACACCGAAGATGAGGGTTGTTGATGAAAATAGGGACTGCATTTTGTGGTATATGATACGGATTGTCTGTTGCGACTTGATGAGAATGGGTTTAAATCAAAGTAACTCTATTACGAGAAAGCAAGGTGTGTAAAGCAGGTTCAACTTTTCTTGGTCGTAGAATTCGTCGGGAAGGGCGATGGAGAGCTGGAGGAAGAGCCTCTTCCACAACCCGAAAGGTTCTAAGCTCTTTATATACCATAAACATCTAGTCAGGGGAATTCCAGCATAAAGGAAAGACGTGAACAGGCCAAATTTAGCCAAACAGGGACTGTTTGAGCAGCCTGGCTCGGTTCCTGAGCGGCGAATGGCAGATGTGGATGTGGACATGGCGAGAGTGGAGAGCATAGACGGGAATCTTGCCGACGCGCAACCTCCTCGTGCCCTAGCGACTCAAGACTCTTGACGTTTGAGGTGCCCCCGTTGAGGTTGACGTGTAGATGGGAAAGGAGAAACAGGCAAAGGAAAGTCGAAGGATCGATGAGCGCTGGGCCGCGTTCATTCTCCGAAGTTGTGACCCAAGGCGGCTAGCGGGAGAGACAAGGTCCAGGGACCAGATTGGGCCAGAGCAAGCGCCTGTTTGACCTGGTGGCCCATGGATCTGGAGGGGACTGGAGGTGGACGAAACGCATTGGAAACACGAACCGCAGCTCCCGTATCAGAACACGAGCACCATCACATCACCATCATCACCCTGAACTCCTGAATCCTTCTGGACCCCAGCGCAGACTAGCCGGCTGCCAAGGGAAAAGAAAATGCAGTTTTTCTTGGCCTCTCAACCCACAGGCTCATTGCGTACGACGGAGGCAGTACCCCGGTGAAAGAGTTGGGAAAAGCTCGAGGTTGAAAATAGAATTTTGGTACTGTTTGTCGATGGTTAGCCTTTGAAGCCGGCGAAGAGGACAACAGAAGAGAAAGGGAAGTGGATTCGTGGAGACACGAGGGAAGCGCCCTAGTGTGAGGCAGTTAGAGGATTGGCAGAATGGCAGGTTACCTCCTACAGGCAGTCAGGAAGGACGCGGCTGGGGGAGGATGGAGGGAAGATCCCAGCTAGTCCCTTAGCGACTTAGCGGTGTTAGTGGGAGAGCTCTTTCCTACGAGGCACAAGTGCGCTAGACAGCTAGCACCACTAGCAGTTAGTGGGATTATGGACCTGCTTACCTCGTACTTGGTACAGTACCTATTACTGAACGCTTAACCTGCCCGTGTTGGACGCAGCCTTGCCCTCTGCCAAAATAGTCTAAGTCCATGCGAGGCTGTCACTGAGACCCTCGCGTCTTTCATCCAACAGCAAAGCCAGACTCCCGGCGCATGTCATCAAAACACCACCTTTGTCACTGCCACAAGGGACGCCAACAAAGCGAGTCAACAAATCTGAAATGCCCAAGTTATCGATCGGGCTCTGGCAATCCCTAGGTACTTTTCTTTCCCGGGAAACCGTCCACCTCGCGCGGCATCTTTCCGGGGCAAAGATATATATTTAGGTCCTTTGCCTTTTGCTAGGCTTGCTGAGTGGCCAATCGGTAACTTGACCCCATTTCCACTTCATCAACCTTCCCTTCTCGATAAGAAAAACAAATCACCACCGTCTGCGACAAACCGCGCGTGGCTTCAGTACGTCTTGTGCATTTGGACATTGTGGCGGCTGGCCGTTGAGGCGGAAATTTGTCCTCTGGTGACGTGTGCGCAAATGCATCTCTGCTTGATTATGCTACGGACGAAATCTTCTAACACCAGCTGCACTATTAACGCATAATAAAGAATCGATCATGAACTGAACATCCCCTCATTCCCGCTATTCCAAATGCCCCAGTCCTCAGTCGGTCAATACCAGAGATTGCATCCACCTGCCCTAATCATACCACATCTCCGAAGAAATTGCCTTGCATGCTTCTAGCCGTGCCGCGAGTCAGTCTCGTGGTCAGATCTTGATCCCAAAAATATCTCTGGCTTGTTTGGAGAATGACCTGTAAGCCAGTATCTGCACCACTGCATACGCTATTGATTCGCCTTCCCAGATGCCACGTTGGAGAGCCATCTCCACCCGTTGCCATCAACATGGCAGCAACCCAGATCATGCTCGCCCGACGCTCATTCGTGATTGGGGCGATAGGCTTGCCAACAAGGGCCATGCAGTGAAGTCGTTGAACCCATTCCATCACTGAGTAGATTGCCTCACCATTCATGAAGATGCAAAAGGAAAACAGGCCAAGGACCAACAAGCGTTCCGTCTCTTCGAGCTGCTCCTGTTGGAGCAGGTCGAATGCCCGAAATGCATCCAATGTCATGGCATGCACGGTTGCTGCACTCTTGTCCCCGTCTACTCCTATCTCGGGAAGCTCGGCAATCTGCAGAGCCCATTGGGTTATTCTTTCCACGAGATTCATGACCTGTACATTCACAGGAATGCAGGCAAACAGCTCCGCGAATCCAGGAGGCGACGGCGCGAGTCGAGCAGGGGATGCTGGCAGAGATTGGTGGCGAGCGTCCCCGACCATCGGCGATACACTCTCAAAGCTGGAGCTCTTGACATGGTCGAAATGTCGGTAGTTCAAGAAATTTTCGAACCTGGGATTTATCAGCAATGGCATAGCTGGGCTGGGCGCGGCGCAACCCTTACTGGAGAAGCGGAATCTTCACCCACTTGCTCAATGATGGGGAGTCAATGCCACCCCTGAGTTGAATGATGTGCCGTAAGGCCCCAAGGTGAGTTCCCATTGCATCGATATTGTCGTGCAGAAGCTGGGCCTGCCATTAGCAGAGCTTAGATGCCATCAGGTGTATCTCACCTCAGTTCCAACCAGCAAAAGAATCGTCATCATAACAGCATCTGAGGCACAGGTCTCTGAAGAAGAGATCCTATTCCGGAGCTCTCGGATGACATCGTTCCGCTGGGACAAGAGCATCTCCCTCGCATTCTGATTTCCTGCCTCGAATCGCTCCCGCATATCGGCCGCCCATACCAGGACAGCATTTGCGACCATATTGTCATGAAGCATGACCCCGTCAAGGAAGTCTCCTGGTTCAAAGAGGATAGTTCTGTGGCGACGGTGTATCGTAAAAGGTGCATAACATTGGAATACTGGCAGAATACAATTAGCTGGAACAGTGTCAAGGAGAGCGAGAACTTACAGAACTCAAACGTGGCATTTGGATCTAGCCCGTGGTCATTCCTGAAGTTGTCACCAAGATTCCAGTGCTCCAGGAGTTCGACGATAGTGTGGAACGCGGCGGTTCCTCCATCCGCGATCGCCCTGTCTGCAGCAGACCTGGAAGGAACAGATTCCGCCGGCGTGGAAGGCTGTGCATTGGCTGACGACGATGAGGTCGACGACGAATGGCGACGGTGCGCAGGCTGGTTACTGGCGGTTGGTGTCGGATTTCCGAGCTTCATCCGGTACATATAGCCTTCCTGTGTCAGCTTGGACCTGACGGATCCCCAGGACGGGTTTCTGTTCTTCATGTCGTCCACTCTCGGAACTGTTCGTACTCAGCGAAATGGCAGTGCTTGGAATTGATGTGTCCAAAAGAGTTGGTCCTTCACAACTGTTAGGATTGAATCACGACGCTTCGTCCCCCGACTCCTTCTATATAGCAAGAACAATGTGGTCGCCCGGCTGAAGTCCATGAGTTCATCTTCTTCCTGGGGTGAATACTGGAGCAGGCCGTGTTTGATCATCGCGCAGCCTTTTCAGAGTGAATTACCAGATCTGCGAAGTTGTGATAGTGCTGCTTCCCATTCTGTTCGTGGTGGGGAAGATGGCCTGTGATATGAGTTTCTTCTGGTGTGATCTTCTCCAGTCTCGTGGTCCCGGGCCAAGTAAGTGTATAAGTTCCAGCCACTGAGTAATAGAACTCCCTCACCAAGTATTCGCCCTTGATTCCCTTCCTCCCCCAAACAGCCGCATTCGCTTACCTAAAGTGTGGCATTGTCTAACAAGCCATACCCGATCCAGTGTTTGTCCATCTCCACCTGCATTGGGCTCGACGTTTTGGCCCGTGCGCCGGACACGTCTCATAGGTTGGATTCGGTTGTTCCTGCTGAGCTCCCTGCAACATTAGACTCGCCAGCCGGTTTGAATGACCTATCATCGCAGCTTTCCAGTCCAGTGTCGGCGATCCCGTCGCGAGAGTCCTGCATGTGGTAGACTGCAAATAGCATTTTCAGTAAAGCTTGATTTTCTCTACCATAATCCAAATCTGATCAGTCCTGGAATTTGTGTCAGCGTCAAGAACCTCTTGATGCCTCCAAACAAGCTATGCAAATCCCGAATCCGGGAATTTAGGGCTGGCAGCGGTTCTTCGTGGAACAAAACCAAAAACGGCGGTCTGTGAATTGTTTGAAGTGGAAGAGATTCTCCCGATAAAATAGAGGCACGAGAGCTCGTTGAAGCAAATGATGTAATGAGCTCGGATCGGCCGCCTGTGATCGAGAACCTACAATAGGAGTCCGCGCTCAAGCTACCTTGTCATCCGATGATGATGGCCTTGCTATCGGAACTGTCTTTAAGCTTGTGGTTAGGAGGGTTAATACTTGGGTTAGCCACTTGCCGAAAACTCCAGAGCACCAGAAGAATCCCAATGTATCATTAACCTTGGTAGGAAAATTCCCTCCCCGGATCCTCCACCACGGTCTGTCGTAGGAATTCCGGCAGTTGTAATAGTCTTGGGATACTCTAGCTGTATCCAAAACGGCGTTTGTATCACCGGAAGAATGATAGCTTGCAGCAGGTGACCGAGAGTGTCTCGCGCAGAAGTGTGTTTGTAATGGTGCTCGTCTAGGACAAATAAGGCCGATGTGGAGTCGTAGTCTGTTCCACGGCTTTTCATACACAGCTCTGGAAGCGAGAATGAGGGTAGTTGAAACTGAAAGAGCAGAGATTTGGCCAGCCGAGCGCGGTGTCAAGAAAAGAATTAGTTCTCGACGAGAACGCGTGGATGGTTTCTAGCGCCTCCTCAAGCAAGCATTTTCTCACCATAGACTGAAGGGTGATAAGACTCGTTAGGAATATGCTGGTCTCAGGCTTCTTCTAGATGCTGAGCGTAGTAAGGGCCTCCGGAAGGCCCATGACCATCAACATTGAGCCAGGAAGTGCCCCAGGATGGGAACATAGAATAAACCGTGAAATTGTGTTCAACTTGCCCAAGGCAAATAACAACCGGGGTTTTATACCCCCGTAAGATTAATGGGCATATCGGCCGTAGGGGCAAGGGTTTGGCCTAAGAAATGAGACACGAAACACGAAGTGCAAAGGACCAAAAGAGTAAAAGGGAAACTGAATCGACGAGGTGGCTGGATCTGACAGGCGAGTATCTAGAATTCAACCTCGGGACATCGATCACCGGGGCGTGCTGGGCATGTGCTGGAACTTGAATTGCGAACTTGGGTGCAATAGATCAATGACGCCTACATTGCAACATGAAAACTGTCACAAGACCCCTGGGCGTGCTGCTGCCCGCCTACCATTGTAGTGTGTTCATCTAGAATCAGTTCAAGATGCTGATGCTCATATGAGGTCGAATACTGACCAGATCTTTGTCAACTTTCGACCTATCTAGCTAACCATTTCATGGGCCTCATCTTCAAAATGCCCCCTTCAAAGGACAAATACACCCACCCGAGGCTCCGAGATGAGGTCAAGGAAGATATCCAGCAATCAGACAAGGGTGGCCCCCCCGGACAGTGGTCTGCTCGCAGAGTGCGTTCCAACGGCACTTTTTGCCCCAGAGCTGGAGACTAACTCATGTTCTCAGGCATAGATGATGGCTAAAGAGTACAAAAACCGAGGAGGTGGTTACAAGACGGACAAAAATGACCAAGACGAGTCTCAGAAGCATTTGAGTAAATGGACAGATGAGCAGTGGTAGACGAAAGAGGGAAGCGGGCAGGCAAAGCAGGCCGATGGCACTCGAAAGCGCTACCTTCCAAAGAGAGGTTGGGAAGATATGAGCGAGGAGGAGAAGGAAAAGACCGAGCAAAAAAAGCAACAAGGAAGTGAAAGGGCAAGCAGTTCCTGCCGAATACCCCTCGTGCAAAGTCTGCAAGGAAGAAAGCTAATAACGAAGAGGACGCCGCCAATGAGAAGAGTAAGAAACGAGCAGTTGGGCCGGAGTCGCACAGTCGCTCGAAGAAGCAAGGCAAACAGGACAACTTGCAGGCCGGGTCAGATTCCGAGAAAGAGCACACCAATACTCGCACCAAGCAAGAACAAGCATCTCAGAAGGGCCGATCAGAAGCGCGATCGTGGTCAAGACACGACGTATGGAGAAACGGCCGGATCCTCAAGGGAAAAAAACACAAGAATCATGCTGGAAAATCAAAAAGCAAGTCCAATGGCCCCATAGCCTCAACGGAAGCGCCGGATCAAAACCCGCCTCAAGGTCGAGGCCGCCGGCAAAAGGAGACATAGCCCACTGGAGGGGGTGCTGGGCTGGATAAAAGGTCGTGCGGTCGAGGTGCTCAAGGCGAACAAAGAGGTGAACGGCAAGCAGACCAAAGCTATCAAGGCCGATCCGCGGCATCGTGCTGAAGAGCAACGGCAGCGAAGAGATCTGTGTACGCAATCCAGCCAATGTGTGCTTTGATCGATTCACGCCCTCTGCGGCCGTTCAATAATCCGTGGTACTAGGTACAATACGAGGTTGGGATATTCTTAGGATGTGGGTTGCCTTTCAATATTCTGGTAGTAGTTTGGGCATCTGTTTTGAATATTGTCACATCTAGAGTTTGGCTTTGGCAGAGCCTCCAGCCTTAGCGAGGATGGGCTCCATCTTCGTTGCTGTTGCGCTTGTTAGCTCTTCTCTCTCTCGCCACCTGGGGTCGACTTGTCTTGCCTTTCATGACATTACCCCTGACCTTCAGCTTGCCGCTCATGAACAAAGTCTGTGCTTTCGTCTTTCCGGCGATCAATTTGCTAAAGTTTTCGTCGGAGAGGAGGAGTGTTACTATCGCGCGTTTAGTCCATTCTGCCTTCTCTCCTTCCATTGGTGGCGCGAAACTGACCATCGGCCTTTTTGCCTTCAGGGGCCTCGCCCTTGCCGACTTTTCCAGTGTCCTTGAGATCAATATACCATGCCTCTTCCTTGCCGCTGCTGTTGGTCAGCTTGAAGGCGAAGATGGCCTTCCCTTGCTTGACGGCGTCTTTTCGATCGGCGTCATTGGATGCGAGGGACTCGTTGATGGCATCAAAAGCCACGGAGGAAGGAAAGGCGTCTGAAATGCGCACGTCAGCGCTGCTATGGTGTCGCGTCATAGGAAAAGGGTGATAACATACCGTCCTTGAGAGACATTCCGTGGGAGGACGCCGGGATCGGAAAGAGAGTAATAGGAGACGCGGAAAGTCGGAGAGGTTGTGTACACCGAGAATGAGGGTGCAGGAGACAAGATGGGGACCTTGAAGATGCAAGAGTGGTCGCCTGGATATTTAAAGGAGATGGATTCTGTGTGCACTCGGAAGTGATCACATGGCGCGTGTCTTGATGAACGGCGAGGTCGGAAACCGAAGATGAAGTCATCTTGCGCCTGGAAAGACATGTGAAAGACACCAAACGCCGAGGCTGGTGGGCTCAGTTGTACATCTTGTCAGACACTCCTCCACATTTCCAAACATGGTACTGCGTATATAGCATTACGCTGTCCACCATTCTGGGGACGGCTTCAAGGCTTCAAATTCAATCATCTTAAGCCTAAATAACAGTGAGTCCGACTTTTCCTGCTGCCATTTTGGCCAGGGATTGCCACACCCGATCGCGGCCCCCCCATTGGCGTCTGTGTTTTTGCATGCTATTTATCTGCTCCAAAACATCTTCTCAACAAAACTCTGGCTTGACGACTGCATCCTGACACAGCACTGCTATCCGCTTGAAAATCCTTCTCCACTCCAAGGGGTCGCCTGAAGCCTTGACAAAACAAACCTCTATCAGTCCCTCGCTGACTGTCTCCATCGCGATGTTGCCGCTCAAAGGACATCCGCGACTATCTTGCGTTTTGACCTTGACTACACACTCACAGTCTTGAGCCGTAGGCCGGGGAATATTTGGAGTCGGCACCCCGAGCCGGCTCAAAGCCTCTAGGACATGGGGAACAAGGAGATTCAGCGGCCAACCTGAATAGAATTTGGTCAGGCCTGAAGAGGGCAAAATGTCATGAAATCGCCGAGCCATCTGTGTCCGGCTCAGAGGGACGCTTGGGTGCGGCTGAAACTGTGACATGGAAGGTTCGTCTTCAAGATATTGTGCCGTTGACATCGATTGTGTCGCCGACGTCAGGCCGGCTCCTATCTGAGTGCTTGCCATCGCAAAGTGCTTCGGTCGGTCCCAGTCGAACAGCATATCTTCAGCCGGCATTTCTGGCTGAGTTGATGGGAACCTGTTTCGCAGATTTCCTTCAATTTCCATTGCATCTAAATTGCGACTTCTCTGGGTCCCTGCAAATGGGTCTGCATCAAAGCTGACATGGAGGGCTTCAAACATGTTCGTGGCCATAGTGATCGGGTCCTTCAGTCGACCTTTGTGATCCATAAATCTGTTCGGCCTTGTAAACCAGGGATGCCGGCGGACGTCCTCAAGGGAGAACCGCGTTTTGACATCGACCCTCATCATACCACGGAGGAGGGATAGTACCTCTAGTGGAAGCGAGTCCCACAACTCATCTGACGGCTTCCCATTGCTCTGGACATACTCGCTGAACTCGTTCAGTCTCCCGTACTCGTCACGGCCCTCGACTGGTCTACTCCAAGGGGTATTTCCTGCAAGCAAGACGAACAGGACAACTCCACAAGACCAGATGTCCGCCATATTGGCGGCGTATCCACTTCCTTTCATGCCGGCTTGTGTGCCACACGACAGAACCTCCGGAGCAACATAAGGCGGACTCCCACACAACGTCGTCGCTAGTTTCGTCCGGCCGTGGTATTCAAACAGGCACGCCATTCCGAAATCTGCAATCTTAAGGTCTCCATCCGCAGATAGAAGAACGTTTTCCGGTTTGATATCCCGATGAGCCACGCCTTTAGAATGCATGTAGCCGATCGCACTAACGAGTTGCGTGAAATAGACATGTGCAATATCTTCAGCAACCCCGGCATCGGCTTCGATCTTGTCAAAGAGGTCGCCTCCTTCAGCCAGTTCCATTGCTATCCAAACCCAGGCCGGATCATGGCCATGGTCGTAAAACTCAATGATGTTCTTGTGGAGGCCGATGTGCTTGTGTAATGATATTTCCATCTCGAGCTGCTTTTGCTTGATGCGGCCATACTTCTGAGCGAAGTGTTTATTGATGAACTTGACGGCAAAGACGGGATTGTCGGCGCTGAGAGGAGCGGCTTTCTTGATACTTCGTAAAATCGTTAGTCTATCTCCGCTCTTCAATGTTGGACCAAGGGAAGGAACCCAAATACCATGCGTATGCACCCGAGCCGATGGTGGGGGAGACAATCCGAAAGGGCACCTGAGTAGGCAGAGGTGCCAATTGAGAGTGAGGGATTCCGTTCATGACCAGGTCTGGTGAGGGTGTTCACTGTTTCGCAGGACGACGTCCAAGTCTATGCGTTGACCTCACCCAGTACCATGGTAGCGGCGCGTACCCAAATGGTCTAGAAAGCGCTGTACGCGTCGTGTTACGGACTGAGGCGCAAGAGAGGCGATGAATTGGCTGGTCCGAGACCCAAAGTGCGGCGCCAACGTCATTTTGGGGGCTGCTTGGGGCTCCTTAGTGGTGCTGTTACTGGAGTGACCAGGCGACGGGCCCCCAAGGATAAACAATGGTTAAGTCTCCGCAGTCCCTAGGTACCGTCCTTACCACTTTCTCAGGTGCGGTCGACCTTGCCACCAGCAGCAGCACGCGACCAACTCATCCACACTCTCGACCTTCGCTTTCCCACATTTTTTGCACGTCTTTCCTATCTGTCTCTATTTCTCATCCTCAATCACGGTCTCTACGACCAGTACCATCAGCGCTGAAGTAGTCTAGACCATTCTTCCGTTTTCAGCATTCCTTTACGCACATTCTGGCCGTTTGCAGCTCGCAGCTTAAATACAGCCCCAAGATGGATTTTCCAGTCGAGAACTCTCAGAACTCTGCTCCAGGACTCTCTACCATGGCTGAACAACACAAACTCAGCGTCGCACCTCGAAAAGTAGACACCCAAAGTGTCACCAAACGGTAGGACCATCTTTTTCCTCGCCAGGTCGAGAGCATGGACTCATCAAACACAGGCTGCAAGCCGAACTCATGGCCCTCATGATGTCCCCTACGCCGGGCATCTCTGCCTTCCCTGACGCCGACGGCAATATGCTGCACTGGACCGCCACCCTGGTCGGACCCCGAGACACAGCATATGCAGACCTCACCTTCAAACTCAGCTTCGAGTTCCCCAGCAACTATCCCTACGGTGCTCCCACCGTTCTTTTCAAGACACCCGTCTACCATCCCAACATCGATTTCAGCGGTCGGATATGCCTCGACATTCTTAAGGACAAATGGAGTGCTGTCTACAATGTGCAAACTGTGTTGTTAAGTTTGCAGAGTTTGCTGGAAGAGCCGAACAAGTATGATTTTGCTTGTGTTTAAGAGACGGCAACACTAATATTTGTTTGCAGTTCGAGTCCGTTGAACAATGAAGCGGCACAACTTCACCAGCATGACCCCGAGGAATTCCAGCGAAAGGTCCTGGCTCGCCATGAGACTCTTGAGGACTAAACCGGAAGTCACTGCGAATGCAGCACGACCCTGGCCATTGCTCTGGAGTTCGCCATGACTGAACATGATGTTTACGCGCATACCCTTGCATTGGCTCTTGAGCGTTGGGCGTTGGTGCGAAGTCATTCTATTTTGCATTGAGGTGATGGAGCGGTTGGCGAATGCGTACATAAAGGCAGTGATGGTGAGGCACGTACAAGCGATGGACGTCCTGGTGCTGGTCTGAAGGTTTATCCCGTTAAAGTTTGTTTCCACACGTCCCGAGCACAAAATATACAATATGGCATCCTTTTTTGCCCCCTTACGGTATCCAGATCCCCCAATCCTTCTGACTCTTGCGAGTGACATTTTTGCCCTTGCGACACTCCCAAATATTTCCCCTTACAATCCGCAGCCTTACAGTTCCTCTTCCACAATGAACCGGCTACTCCCGTCATCCAAACCCTCAAAGAGTTCCACTCCCCAGCTCTTACTTGGGTTATTGAACCTCGACCTCTTATCCTGTTCGGTAATCATCGTCATCTCGTTGTCAGTGAAAGTCACATTCATCGACCCTAGGTTCTCCACGATCCGATCCTGATGCACGCTCTTGGGAATCACAATTGTCCCCCTCTGTCTGCCCCAGGCGAGGATGGCTTGCGCAGGGGTGACGTTCTTCTTGGAAGCGAGGTCGGTCCAGAAGGGGTCCTGGAGGATGGGGGACAGGTCCGGGTATTTGCCCTTGTAGGTGGGGTTCATGTTGGCGAGGGGCGAGTACGCGATGACGGTGATGTTGTTCTTCAGGTGCCAGTCGACGAACTCCTGCTGCTGCAGGTACGGGTGTGTCTCGAACTCGTGCGCGGCCGGCCGGATCTTGCACTTTGCGAGCAAGTCGTCTAGCTGGCGCGGCGAGAAGTTGGACACCCCGATGTGGCGCGTCAAGTTGGCGCGGACTAGCTCTTCCATGGCGGCCCATGTGTCGTGGATGCTGGTGTCCTGGTCCACGACCGTGCGGCCGGGGTCCTGGTTCGGCAGGAACGCCACGGGCCAATGCATCAGGTACAGGTCCAGGTAGGGGACTTGGAGGTCGCTGAGCGTCTTTTCCAGCGCCGGTCGCACCAATTTGGGCCGGTGCGCCGTGTTCCACAGCTTGGACGTTATCCAGTACTTTTCGCGCGGCGGGGAGGAAGAGCTGTTGAGCGAGCGTCCGACGAAGTCTTCATTGTCTGCATGGGGTGCCGGGAAAGAGGAGTATCAGCCGTCCCTCTTTTTTTCTTTTATCCTCGTGGAGACGGATTGATGATGGATTTCAATCCATGTCCAGGGAATTTGCTTTCAAGCCGGGAAAATTGGGCCCGATCGCTATAGAACTTACCGTACGCAGCGGCTGAGTCGAGATGTCTGTATCCCGCCTTGAAAGCATATTCAACAGCCTTTGTGGCCTATATAACGTTTTGGAGAAGCGGCGTTAGGTTTCTCGATGAGCCTCATAGCTAGCGGTCAAAAAGGATGGTGATGTGGATTGAATCAATAACGACCGACAATGGGTCGGGGCGGGCAGGTAGGCGGGCAGTAAGGAAGGTATGTAGACTGACATCTTCATCCTTTGAATTCCACAGCCCCAAACCGACCTGGGGAATCTCCTTGATCCCCCCTTTCGACAGAGGTTGTTGTTGGCGGTGGTGGTGGATGGCGATTTGGTCTTGATCCGCCAAAGACGTACCAGGCAGAAACGTTGTCAGGAGACTGAGGGCGATGGCGACGGCCAAGAGATGCGGGGACGAAGGGGACAGCATTATTGAAATAATGAATCTATACTGCCAAACTAGTAGTAAAGAACAGTTTGGGAATTCAAAGTTGTCTGTGGACTATCTCCCTCGGACTGAGACGAATTGGACAAGTTAACTGAAGTAACTTCGTATCCTACATATCGTCGTCAGCATTTGTGATGGTCGAACACCGATGTCATCATGCGGAGAGAGGGTTCCCTAGCAAGGAATACAGGACTAACCCGGATAACACCTCCGCAAGAGACTAGTCGTAGCTACTGTGATAAGTACCGAGTATCAACTCGGGAGTCTTTCCTAGCACGGCTTAATACCCTGTATTTGTTAATCAGGGGCCACGAAGGCTCGGAAAGGGGGCCGCAGCCTCGGTGGATTCAATCGCAAGGCTGCACTATTACCCCGTAATTGTCCCTACATAAGATATACCCGGTGGTCAGGAGGCTAGATGATCCGTCGAAAATATATTACTGTTTAATCACGGACCGGTTGCCGACTCTATGCATTTTGCACAACACCAATGGACAAAAGGAATCCGTGATGATGAATCTCTCAATCACACGTCCGCAGATTGCGTGGTGAGGGGGTTGCTCAGACAGACGCTTCTGCGTAAGGTATTCGTTTCTGTCACTGCCACTGCTCTGGCTAGTTTTCGGGTTGGCTTTGTAGTTGGTACATAAGATGCAGAGCAGACTGATGCCTTGACTCTCACTTTAGATAGTATCGCAGGTGAGGTCGTGGAGAAGAGGAGTTTGAAGCTTCAAACAAGTTTTGAGCCCTAGTTAATTCAAATGACATTGTTGTCGGACGCCACCCCCCAAGAATAGAAAATTGTCCCTCCAGCGAACTGAGCACAGACTGCGGAAACACACCGCCAGCTCAATTACTCTCCATCGCGCTCCATCCGTGGGCCCTTGTGCAATTGTATCCCAATTCATTTACAAACTCTCTTTGACCCCTAAGGGCTACCAGTGTTAGTCTTCCAAAATAGGTACCATGGCCTGTTCTGGTGAAATGCCCGTAGTAACCTATCGTCGGGGTGATGTTCCACCGCTCAAAGGTGCACCAATAACACTTCAAGGAAGCCGCGGTAGGGCCACCCGAGTCGGAGGAATCATTCAGGAACACCAAGTAACACGATGTCGTATTACAAAGGCGGTAACGTACGGGATCAAGCATTCCGCTACAACGGAGGAGCCTCAGCTGAACCTACATCGCTGCACCAACATGCGAGCACCATGAATGACCGCGCGGAATCAAATCCATCATCAACGAGTGCCATGTCCAACGTCTTGACTGATCAGTAGCATAGGAGGGCAACAATAGGAGGATATAAAGGTCTCGTCTCTTGCACCTGAGAATGTTTTCCGCTTCAGCATCAAACCACAATCAGCAGAGCTCTTGCGTCGTCAAGCGAAAAGCAAAAGCAAAGGAAGCCGTATCATACTAGAAGTCCAAAAAGGATTCAACCTTCGACAATGTCTCCCCCGACCGCACCGTTCCCAACCTTCCCCATCTCCCAAATCACCATGCCCTCCGACAACCTATTCACATCTGCCTACGCCTTCGTCAAAGAACACTGCACCAGGGCCACGCTCAACCACTGCCTCCGCAGCGTCGCTTTTTCTCTCATCCTATTCCGCAAGTTCCCGCCCTTGGCAACGAACCCGGACATCGACAAGGAAGCCGTCCTCCTCTCTCTGCTGATGCACGACATGGGCTGGGCGACCAGTAGTTCATCCCTGACGTCTAATGAGAAGCGCTTCGAAGTCGACGGCGCCGACATCGCTCGCAACTTCATCCGGACTGAATCAGGTGGTGGCACGGGCACCAGCGACGGAGAAAAATGGGACAGGCACCGCCTCCAGCTCATGTGGGATGCCATCGCGCTGCACACGACCCCGAGCATCGCGCATCACAAGGAACCTGAAGTCTTGGCGACTCAGCTGTCCATCATGGCCGAGTTCTTCGGGCCACATCTCGACGCCGCCGTGCCGGGTTGTTCCATCACGGTGGACGAGTACCAGGAGGTCCTGGCCGCGTGGCCGCGTCTGGGCTTCAAAGAGGAAATGAGGCAGACGCTCTGCGGTTTCTGTCGCGACAAACCAGAAACCACGCTCGACAATTTCGTGGCCGAGTTCGGCCGGATCTACGGCCTGGACGGCAAGGGCGGTGGGAGGGACGAGTTCGTCAAATTGTGCGACGAGAATAATATCGTCAGACGCTTGGAAGGCGGGTTGGGCGCCCTGGAGAAATATGAGAATTGACCCAAGCGAGATGGCACAGTCATGTGAATTTGGCCGTATAGTTTCTACTATCCAGTTGCTGCAGTGGATGGGTGGATGGTGACGGAAAAAAGTTCTCAGAACTGCCCATAGTATGGTACCTTAACACGGCCAATAGCACTGAAATTGGAGATTCTGTCGTTGCTGGGCTTCGTTGAGGGGCGTCTCGATTCCCTGTGTCGACGCCGCTGCGTAAAGGGTAGTTTGGAGTTGTTCTGGCGACACCAACACCGCGTAGTTGAGATATCCAATTCCCGAGGGAGGACCTGCCAATGGACCGGTCCCGGCCTTCTGATATAGCTCCATGAATGGCTTGATGACTTCGGGGGCGAGGACGGCATTAACGGAGAACCTTCCGGAAACCAACTCGAACGAAATGGCCATGGCGTAGTGGTCTTGCAGATTAGCGCCAACGAGCTTGTTCGCGACAGTACAGTCCAAGCCCGCAGCTTGCAGGACTTGCGGATCTCCAATACCGGAAAGCTCGAGAGTCCAGGAGGGTTCGTAGGCCCCTGTGCAGATCATGACTTCTCCTCTTCGCAGTCACAGGTTACCTTTTAGCGCCACGCCAGAAAATCGACCCGGTCGACCATAGGAATGCCGCAGGAGTTGTGGAATCTGACATTTTCCACATTGGCACCAGTGGGGATCTTGAGGTTTGATCGTCCAAGGTTGGGCAGTGTTGAATCATCCACAATTCAGTCGAGAACCCAACCCGGAAAGGATAGGGGTAAAGGATATCCACGCATCCGTGGCCCGTTGCCTGTCCGGTGTCCTTGACAACCTATTGCTTCGTTATTCATGTCCGAATCGACACAGATGACTCGAAGTTCAATCTGGCTGCGACCGGAGCTGACTTTTGCTCACAAATCTTTTGCCAATTTGAATGGCAAGAACCCGGACGGTCATACTGTTTCCGCGGCGTTAGGCGATAATGCTGTCTTCTAATGCCCATGTCTGGGACAGGTACATCGGGTTTCCAGTGGAGACAGGGTGGATGAGCAGCTATGCTTCTGTTTCTCAAAGAGATTTCCACCGGTTTCCTGAAATCGACTCTCCAAGACCTGCCAGCCATAACAGATTAGAAAGGGATAAAGTTTCGGCGATTTCTAATGGACTGAGGCGCGGACAGAATATCTCCGCCGTGGTTAAGTACCTCGGAAGCGATAGGGTATGCCGCAACTGGAGCGTTTTTCCATGGTCCTTCCAGCTGCAGTCTGAAATGTAAGCCGACGACATGCCAAGATTATAATATTTCCAAAACTAGGGTTCAAGATATATGCACTGATGGTGGTGACTCGCCCTTGTTGCTACCTGTTCGATGGCTGACCGAAAGGACTCCGGCTGAAATCGGAAGAGAACAAACCTTTAGGCAGCAACTGGGTATGTGCCATCTTAGTTGCCTAATGTATTTGAGGACATTCAGTATACCTCCACGCAGTTTGTCAGAGTCTCCCGTAAGAAGATGGATGGCCAATCTGGAAACCGGATTCCACAATCCCACCTTGGACTGCTCTGCTTAGGCTTCTGATAATTGAATGATGCCGGATCCCGAATGCATCGCTGTAGCTGACAGTACCAGCTCACTCCCATGACGTAAAGACTTTTGGCATGGACAGGGTGGCCCTATCTTCCAATCTCACCGGTTTCATGGGGTTACCCGTGTCAGCTGCGGGAGATTGCACGTAGTACTCTATACTCAATGCAATAGTTCTCCGGTGTGGGCGGTATAGTTATTCTTATACCTCTGGACCCGCACAGTCTATGTGGTAGAAGGGAAGATGCATCTTGATTCGTTCTGGCGCCTTTGTTGCAAATATTCAAGATTCAACGGAGGGCTGCAGCTGCCTCACAGTATCGGCTCGACGCATAGTGAGCTTCGGTAGAGACACCCGCGTAGCAATATCCAAGGAAGAATACCCTTATCTGCCAAGGTATATCCATCGTGTCGGCGCTTTCAGGAACGTGCGCGCGAAGCTCTGAATTGAATGTGGTGCCAGGGTTAAATTCGGCGCTTGTCCCTGCAGCTCGGCTCAGCCTTGACGTGTTTCCATATCTTGTATTGTCTTTGCTCATAGAACGGCGGCTGAGGCAGCAAATGAGCACTACCAGCAGTGTAAGAAGCTCTGTCTGATGCCTCGGTGTGGCTGCGGTGTGGCAAAGGGAGGCGCAGGGTCTGAATGAACATAACCGAGGATCAGAGCGCGGCAACGCGTCAAGGTCGTGTTTCGGCTAGAGCACCTACGAGGTACCGAGTACACCAATGGTGATGGTGGTGGCATCTATTATGCTGATCGCTGACCGAGTCTGGATATGAATGAAGGACTCCCTATTGAAGGCAGTGGTATTTCGGCTTTCTTCCGCAACCACGGTTCATACTGAGATACACAACCCACCCCTGTTGGTGGCCCTCCTGATTACTGCATATCCTGACTCTCGCTTTTCTAGCCACTCCTTAATTCGGTTGCGTAGAGGAGCACTGACCACGAATCATGGCTATATTGGATGAGGCATTTGCAATCGAAATCGATTTGCTATTAGCAATGCAGCCCGGATACGGAGTATATTTTGTATGCGCAAAACTATATCGACCTGAGCCTTACCTCATCAATCTCGCTTCTTGGTGCTGGAGAATGCTGTCCGATGCCTCTGCTGACTCCCTAACGCGGGATCGGGGGAACCACGAGTATTTCGAGAATTCGAAGACAAGCCCACGTTGTGCCTTCAACAGACGACGGTGGTCAGCCACGGCCTGCCATTGTTCAGCTACCTGTTCGACCTGTGTACCCATCGGACCACGATTGAAGGCGATATCTCCGAGAATTACTTGATTCCTGACCAGCCGATGTCCACAGATCTGGTCTGCTTACAGGATTCAATGCAAGGGGGCTTCCAGTCTAGAGCGAGTATCGCTGGTGGTGGATCTGCCATGTTTTCACGACCGTGCCTCTCGATGTGTCTTATAATAGATGCTCTTCTCCCTCCAATCGTGTTTGACAGGGAAGCAGAACCCACTGGTCTACTTTGTTGGCTTGTTCTCAAGCAGTACAAGCAAACGGTGCGCAACACGCCATGCTCGATATCATCAGAGACGCGCCTTTGGGCCAGTTCCTTCGATGGGCCACTCATGATCGAATACTTCTATATCCCGACGAACGAGAAGGCTTCGTGCTCCCAAAGCTAGTGGGTTGGCCTACAATCTGCCAAAAGATCGTCGGAGTGGTGACTTGTGTTACAGGCATCTGGGACTCCGCTTGAGAGGGACGTCCCAGATCCCGAGGAGTCTGAGCCTGAGCCAGCCGAACCACCCGGACCAGAAAAGCAGAATCTTGAAAACAATGAACCGGAGAGGGTAGACGACGGGAAATCTGGGCCCGAGAAGGCAGATCCCGAGAAGGCAGATCCCGACAAGACAGAGTCTGTCAGCGGACCGTCGACGCACCCCGTAACTCGGCTCGAGGGAGATGCTGCTCTAGAACCAACTCTCTCGCGACAACATAGTCTGCCCTTTACCGAGGAGAGACTGGCCCTGGACCAGCGGCTTGAGCTAGAAAAGACCAAGAGCAAGCCTATATCACTCCATAAATCCGCCGACGGCACCATTCTCGTTGACTGGTATACAACCGACGATCCAGAGAATCCACAGAATTGGACGAAGGCGAAGAAGCTCTTTGTGCTGGTTCAGATATGGTATCATTTCTCCCGCCTGTAGTGCCCATGAACAACTGACATGAGGGTTGCAGTCTATATACCTTTGCTATGTACGGAGGCTCTAGCATTTACGTCGTAAGCGAAGGGTGAGCGTCTATTCTCCTTTTCAACGTGCACTCGTATACTGACGTGCTCTTAGAGGAGTCATGCGGAGATTCGGTGTGAGTGAGGCGGCGGCAGCAATGGGTCTTTCTATATACGTTATAGGATGTATGCTTGACTCTCCTCCTTTACCTGTGCGAAGCCTGGACTGACGACATTGCTATATACAGACGGAGTTGGCCCCTTGCTATTTGCGCCCCTCTGCGAGATTCCTGCCATAGGCCGCAATGGAGTCTATACGCCTGCCTTTATTCTATTCGTCATCATCTGTGTACCGACTGCGGTCGTTGACAACTATGCCGGTTTGTTGGTCCTTCGATTCCTGCAGGGCTTTCTGTGCAGCCCTTGCCTTGCGAACGGTGCCGCCTCAGTCGGCGACATGGTACGTCTCTCTACTCCGGAGATGGCATCTGCAGAAGGGAAGAGAACTGATTGCCACAGTTCTCCCTCTTGATCCTCCCAGTCTATCTCTCTTCCTGGACAGCCGCCTGCTTCTGGGGCCCTGCCCTCGGACCAGTTGTCGCGTCCTTTGCCGTGACTGCCGAAGGGTAATGTCTTGCCACCGACCCTGCCTTCGTTCTTCTCTGGCATGATCGACGCTAATGGCAAAGGAGCAGATGGAGATGGTCACTGTGGGAACTGCTCTGGATGAGCGCACCAATTCTGGTCGTCTACCTCATCGCCTTCCCCGAAACCTCTGGTGCCACGATCCTTCGGCGACGGGCTGCGCGCCTTCGAAAGCTCACGGGCAGGACGGACCTGCGCTCCCAGAGCGAAATCGACCAGGAACACATGAAGTACTCGGAAGTCTTCTTTGACGCCATCATCAAGCCACTGGAGATCATGATCAAGGACCCTGCTGTGGCGTACACGAATATCTACGTGAGTCCCCCAACCGCACCCATAAGAAGGCTGTTGACCTTCTTTTTATTCGGTTATCCGCCCAATATCTAACCAGCACATCTTCCTTTATCAGAGTGCTCTCCTCTATGGAGTCTACTATTCCTTCTTCGAGGCCTTTCCGCTCGTGTACGTGGCCATCTACGGCTTCAACCTCGGCGAGCTCGGCTTGACCTTTCTCAGCATCGGCGTGGCCTGCATGATCGGAGTCGTCATCTACAATATCTATCTGCTCGTTTACCTGGTGCCTGACATCATAAAGCACGGCCTCGGAGCGCCGGAGCATCGCTTGGTGCCCGCGTTGTTCGGCGTATGTACACTGCCTGCGGCATTGTTTATGTTCGGTAAGATTCGATCCTGCCCTAACTACATTTCCTCTGTTTCTGTTTTCATTTGTGGTCCTTGTTCCGCGACAATGCATCATTTAAAAAAAAAAGGGCAAGGCAACTGACCCATGACCCAGGCTGGACCTCCCGCCACGGCGTGCACTGGATTGTCAGCCTCATTGGCGTGGTCATCGTCGTGAGCTCCAACTTTGTTATTTTCCAGTGCATCTTCGTGTACCTGCCCTTATCCTACCCGCGCTACACGGCTTCCCTGCTCGCGTCCAACGACTTCTTCCGCGCCCTCTTCGCCGCCGGCTGCGTCATCTTTTCCAGGCCCATGTTCAAAAACCTCGGCATCGGGCCCGGCAACAGTCTGCTCGCAGGCCTCTCCTGTGTTGGCCTTGTGGGCATGTTTTTGCTCTGGAGGTTTGGCGCAAAGCTCAGGGCGAGGAGTAAGTTTGCAGTCAGTTAAGACTCTAGAGTCAA